AACAACAAAACAAAACAACCATTGTGTAGTAAGATCACTTCGGGAACAGCGCCATCTAGCGTTAGTTTTGCGCGGCCTTACTACGGTGATAGAATTCGACATAATCAAGTAGGCCAGAGGTCTACAAAAATTTCTAGGGTTTTGTAAGTGGGAGCTATTTCACCATACATATATCCACCTTTATTGAAATATTGAAAAACTAATAAAACTTCCAATAACTTTTTTTTACTAATCATCAATTATTATTAATATCATTTTTTGTATCTCGAAAACGAAGAGTTTCCGGACTTATGTTTATCGAGCAAAAATGTTCATTTTGATGTCCTCTACCATCCCTTAAAGTTTGTCGGTATGTTTATGGGACACCCTGTATATGTATCACGAGAGTATAAATATTCCCTTGAAAATTGCATAATTACAAAGATAAGTGAAATTTCATATATATCCATATAACTAGGTTATTTTTCTTCTTCTTCAAACAATTTTCGCTGACTATTGATTGAATGTCTCTTTCAGGTTTCTAATAGTGAAATTCAAAGCAGTGTCATTTAAGGTCAATTCATCTGATTGGTCATTATTACAAATATACCAATAATACCAATAATTTTTATTCATGGAGACGAATATTTCACGTCCTAGATCATCATTTTGATACAAGATTTTTTATTATTTATAACAGTATCACCACTCACATTACTCAAAGGATGATGATGAACAGCTTGGCTAGTCGTTACAATCATTCCTATTATTATGTTCTCCTCTGAAAGCCACAAAATTTTGGAAAAGAAAAATAATTAATGAAAATCATGAACATATTTATGCATATCAGGACTTGAAGGGTTGTTAAATGGTGTGGAAATGATTGAAAGCATTAATCAATATTTGTGATGTTATCTATTCCCTGTGCAGCCAAAACATCACTTTTTTCTGTACAGAATCCAGGATATTCCCCTACATTTAGCCGTCAGTCCAGATTAAGCAGAAGAATACACAAAATCAAAAAAGTTAGACAATTATAATTCATGTCACCGTTCTTGGTGTTTACCTAAATTGAAATGCGAATTAATTACAGCCTATATCTCTCTTATTCAATGATTTTATCAACACAAAGAGGATGACGTCTGTTATGAGGAAACCGGACTCATTTACCAGACGGTTCATAATACAGGGTGAGTCATGCAGAAATCAAAATGACCCTCAGAGTTATAACTTTCCAACAGTTACTTCGAGTCATCTCATTTACTCATGAACATTATACTACTTCTTGTCAATCGACTGATATATTCAGAACTGAGAAAATCCATGACCATCTTAGAAGAATATTGCTAACAAGTTCTCATTTCAAAAAGTTTACTCTGTACATGAAATTTTCACAGTACTCAAGTAGGCAATGAGAGTGAATGATTTAGAATCTACAATATCATTCAAGAAGCTACAGTAAAGTAAACATAGTAGTAATAAAATAGTATATCTTACAATCAATTGTTACTTAAAATCATCACAGCTCTTGAAGACAACTAATGAAAGCACAAGGAAGTTTTTTCCTCAAAAGAGTGGAAAATACCATTATAATTATGGGAGGATATTATAGGTTATGTCAAAATGTCATTGTCAATGCCAACAAATTTGTATGATAACTTACAATTAGAAATGTTGTTTATTCTAACAAAAGGGTATTTCATAACGATATGAGTCAATATGTATGATATGAACGTACTGAAACCAGTTCTCTGAATTTTTTTGAACGGGCTTTTTCCAAAGTGCTCATTTCAACTGGAATATTTTCTGGTAATTCCAAAGATGGACCCAGATAGGACCTCTGCTTCGTTATTTTGAATGGACATAATTTTTGGAATCTATGCTAAAATCATTCATTGGGAACATTATATGTCTAGAGAATGACATTTATGAGTTATTTAACGTTTTTTGAAATTATCGAGATGCTGCAGAACTTGAAAAAATATATTTTTCAAAATGCCAACAACTACCCAAATCATCGTAGTTTTCAAAAATATCCTACAGGATACTCATAAATTGGAGCCAAATCTAACGGTGTATTTAAAAAATTCGAGAACCCAATTTTTTCTTTACCAGTGGATGAACAGTAAGAACACCCAATGTTCAAAGCACTGTATTTGAAATGGTCAGTTTTTGCAGAAACTTGAAAATACCGAAAATATAAGAATTTATCATCATTTAAAAGGAGAACTCAAACATTGTTTTATTGCGTGGATGTCTAATATTTTCACTGATTGTATGTGCATATTCCACATTTTATCACTGATTTTCATCAAAACGTTCTACTTCTATTTTATATCTTTAAAAAAGTTGAAAAGATATTATATTATTATAATAATTTATTATCAATGGCAAACTTTCCACTCCTGTTGAAATCTATTCTTTATTGAAACATTCAAGAAAAATGTGGAAATAATTTCATAGCTCACTTTCGTTGCCTACCTGTGCTATTTGAAAATTTAATATCACAAATTTTAAACATATACACCTGCCAGTGACATTTTTTAAGACAAGTCCTTGACTTTCCTCATTCTGAATATGTCAGTTGATTGATAAACATCGAGGGCTAACATTTTTATTCTCACTAGTTGGCGCTACTAAAACTTGAGGTCAATGTCAAAGCAAAAATCCCAAAAATTTTGCCGGATAGCCCTGAAAATTATGGCCTGTTTTATAGAAAATATTCGAAAAAACTTTCCCCGTCATTCCTTGCTAGCACAAGTCTCTTGCAGACTTTTGAGGGTTGCAAAGGGAGCAAGCGAATGATGGATAAGCACAATGGGCCTTTATAGTCATTTCTACAAAAAATATTTCTTCAAATATATGGCTCTGGAATACCTTCGAATAATTATTTGATATTTTTTTTCCTTCAATTTATCGTATAAAAAATTATTGAAAACGCCAAAATCAACCAGCGAATTCAAACGATCAGACATAGCCGCGAAACGTGTGATATCAGTGCGCGAGCAATTTAGATTGGTGATTTCCGGTCGTCTTGCGGGTGACGATAAAATGCATGATGGACTTGACAATGTTACAAATTTTTTCAGTTTAGCAAATAATACAGATGTTTTAAGGCAACTCTACTAACAACTACTCACCTGAAAATTCATGGTATTAATGATCTGCATTGCATGATTAGTCAGTTTGTTGATTTCTGTTGGAGAATTATTCAAAATTGTAAGTGAAATTTCATTTTGTGTTGAATTTCAGTGCAGATATTTATGACATTCAGTTCAAAAACCCTTCCAGTGAAGTACTTTTATGTACCTACCTATACCTATTTCCCATAGGGAAATAAACATAATTCTGAATCAATCGATACTAAAGTGGGTTCTATTTCAATTGAGTTCAGTACAAGCCTTCTTGTCAATCATATTGAGAAATAAGACCAGTGGAGTTATGCAGAGAATGAGTTATTTTTAACTTGGCAACATTGTGTTAGCGCCAGTTGCTTCATCTCTTTCTCTTGTAGACATAGTTACCAGATTAGCAATTAATTTTTCCGGGAATGAGTGCTTGAGATATAGTAACACTGTTTAATTCAAAAAGAGGAAGGAAAGCTCAAAGTCATCTCCACAACTTTAATAATGATGTAGTCAATCAAAGGGACATGTTTCGGACTTATATTAGTCCATCTTCAGCCGTATTTTTGAAATCAATGGAAATGAACATTATGTGTTTTTAAAATGGTTGCCGATGTCTCTCATCATGATATCGTGATTAATAATAAATAAGTTTTATAAGAATTAACGGGTTTTCATTAAAAATGAAGGGCCCTGTGCTCTAAGAACGCGCACTTGTGAAATCAAATGTCAAGTCCCAGAAGGGAAACTTGACGAGCACACAAGATGCTCTTAATAACTATTTTTGGTTGTAAAACAGGAAAAAGGGGTCCCGTACCCTTGAGAGAACGCACTTAAAATCCAAAAATCAATTTAGAATTGATGGGGCCAAAAGCCAAAAACGTGTTAAATCAATTTATTGATTATAACAATTAGTCAACGAAATTTCAACATAACTAAAACCAAACTAAGTATATGAAAAGCGTCTTACTGTTAGATGCCTGTATTACATTTTATCCTAGCTAATCTTGAAACTGATGAAATACTTTTCGGAGTGTGAATGTGATCAGCAGTGAATTACCAACCAACTATAATCACCTACTACATAGTAATTTCGAATCATTGCATTCCTTGCACCATCTTGCACACAGGATCAATTCAAGGATCTTATAGAGATCTGGCAACAGCGGAGTGATTTCCATCCGTCAGAACTCCAACCAATCAAATTGCAAGAAGACACTGACATCACAGCTCAGTACCGTTTGAATTCACAGATATTGAAATAACATTTTCAATATTGAATACTTCATTCCTCGTTCGATTTTCTCGATAATTATGTGGTCAGGATAACGTTCTTAACCTCCCTTCATAACATTATAGCGAAAAAGGGTGAAATTTTACGATACTGGAAAGGCCCATTTTGGAACAATTTTTTAAAACAAGTTATTGAAAGACTTGAGCAGACTTACGTTTTTTGTATCTCAATGTGGAACTTTATATTATATTTATCAGTTCTACTGACTCTAACTTCACATTTCAGTAGCGCGGTTTGGCGGACAATAAATAATGTTAGTCCTCATTGCATGAATGTTCATGACAACATGAAGTAGTTGTTGGAAAGTTCAAGTCCATAAAGCACCCTATAGAGGAAAATATTTTCTCATAGTCATCAGATATTCCCATAAGCTGCCAATTCTGTATATGAAGTAGGAGTATCTACACACCCTATATAACGCTAACCGTTTACTCAGTTCGCGTGCTAGTGACGTAAACGCCAAAAACGGTGACATGAACTAAACCAGGCATGCAACAAAAAAGAAAAAGGTGTTCAATATTCGGGTACCGGTGAGGTGTGGGAGAGGTTCCAGGACGCGATAGACATGATAAAATGGCAGGTGTGTCAAGTTAAGCTCTTACCCGTCAGACTGTCGTTAAACGAGACATCAGCAGCCGAACTTTGACCGCGTTTTTTCGCCTTTTGTGGCGCGCATATCGCACTGCCCTTTGCACTCTCCGACTTTATCGACTTCCTAGTCTCGTGCTGTTTCGAGTTCACGGCCGTCTTGACCAATCCCGAAGGCGTCAGCTCGCTTCTAGGGGAAGATGGCGCTGACTCGGGCGGATCCGACATTTTTTGCTCGGCCTTAGTCTCCACCTTCGAGTTCGACGTCTCACAAGCGACCTTGCTTTTCGCTTTCTCGGTTTTCGCTTTCGCATCGGTCTTTCTCGGTGTCTCTACTTCCTCGTCCTTGCTCTTCGCGTCTTCGACTTCTTCTTCCTCCTGCTTCTGTTTTCTTCTGTTAGGGTTGTAGTTGGGCTGAGTGCGACTGGCTCTGCTCTCGGAAGGGGCCGAAAAAAAATGCGAAAGGCCATCAAACAGCCCCTTCAACTGGCCGAAGCCCGGAGCCTTGTCTTCGGCGTCTTTGATTAGACCTTCTTCTTTCAGGGCTGTTATAAAAAGATTCTCGGTGGGTTTGTCGGGTGGTTTTTTGTTGGCTTCGGCAGCGAAGCCCCAGGGGGTGTCTTTGTCTACGGTGATGCCCCCCAAAGTGCCGAAGGTCTTTTTGGTGTCGCTATTCGCGCAAAAAGATTCCGGGATTTTGACGTTTCTGATGCTCGTCATGGAATCTGAGTTGGCGACGGAAGAGTCTGTATCGGATTCTGAGGAGCAGGAGGACCCGGAAGAAGAATCATCCTCGGATGAGCTATCTTCTTCTTCGTCCAAGGCACTTTCTTCTCCCTCTTCTTCAGGGTTTTGAGGTTTCGGGCTTGGCTTTCTCTTGGCTTGTTTCGGTTTTGTCTGTTGTTTAGTGTCATCTTTCTTGTGTGTTGCTACTTTTTTGTTCGATCTAGTTTTCGAAGCATTGTTCTCCAAGTTTTTGACAGCTTCAACTTTCTGATCACTAGCAACAGCAACTTTATTTTCGGGATTGTCGTTTCTAGTGGACTTTCTCGAAGGTTGAGATTTTTTGATCTTCTTCTTTTCCTCGTTGAAGACAGAACTTCTGAAAAACTTCTGTTTTTCTTTGGACATGCGATCGTTGGCCTGCAGTAATTGGTCTGTGTCATGGGGGACGGGAGTAGAAGTGGATTTATGAAGAGGATGTGTGTTTCTGGTGGGATTTGGCGTACCCTCATTCTCGCTGACAGCGTCGCTCTCGTCGAAAGGTGTGGAATCTTGATTCTTGCAATTCATGTTGTCTTGGTCGGTGGGGATAACTGAAGGTGCTGAAGTCGGTGTCGAAATTGTCGCACTTTCCTTTGATCTGAAAGGTAATGATTTGATAGAATTCTTTGTATCATAAAAACTGGGTGGATTTTGGTGGTGTTTATTTTTGAAGGACTGGGTCGTTACTTGATGGAACGGAATATTCCATCCGCTTCGCTGTCGGATTATTTCAACTGTGAAACTGACACTCTTTGGAATAATTATGCAACAAGTTATCCATGTCCGGATATTTTGAAGTACTTATAGTATCACTACTGATAATAATAAAATTGATAAACAGTGGTCTGTTGGTGAAATATTTTATAAGAAGGCACCTACATCGAATTGGGACCCAGCTTCTCAAGTTGACCCGTCACCATGGTCATACATAATTAGCCCCTGAAGGTGTAGACTATGGACGTAATAGACAACATGTACAGGGTGATTGTTTATTCTTTACTCAATAGCTATCTCAGTTAATATGGGTCCTACAGAAACGTTCAAATGAGCAGAAGTGAAGTATTTTTCATGGGCCTTCAGAATCTAGTATAGTCGATGTCGGCGGGTTTGGAGGTCCTTTTGAAGTAAGCATAGATGAGGACATTCGTTTGTTCGAGCCGCTCCAATTACCTTTGGATAAACTTAGAGTCACTGGATGGTATTAGTGACTCTAGTATTACTTATATAAGAGTTCGGACACAGAAATGACAACTGTTAGTGTTTTTTGAAAGTTTACATTAATTAAGTTACACACCTTGCATTGTGACAAGAGCACCAAAGTCGTTCCGCGCTTTTTCATTTAAAATTGTTCGAATTTGACAATAAATATTATGAACGTTGGAATTGAAATATAATTCCATAAACTATTGAGAGGAAATATTGATTGCAAATGTCCTGTGTAATGTCCTGTGAAGAGAATTGATTTCATTTATTTATTTCGTCAAAAGGAAATATCAATCCCATTCTCATATGGAAGAAATGTATGAAACGGCCTGGCTGGAGAATTAAATTTAAGACAAGCAAAATTTGTGAGGTGGGTACATACATTGAAATTCACTTTTTATAACAGCAGATTAGAATCAAACAATATTTTAGGTCAATTTTCAAACAGAATATATTAAGATCCGTTTGAGAATGCATTATTATTGAATGAATTGATTGCACAATTATGTGATTAAATTGAAAATTTGAGAACGAAACTGAGGAAATCAAGTAAATTGCAACAACAACAAGAGGTTAATTATTGGTCTTAACTCTTCACAACAATGAATTGGACATGTAGTTTTGATAAAAAAACTGTTTTTTGCAAATTAATAATTGAGAGTGAAATAATCAAATGCAAGAACAATGAAGTAAAATCAAGAACTATATAAACTAAGACAATAAAGAGCTACTGGGTGCTAATGAGCTACAGCTGTGCAGTATATAAATTTCGAAAACACAAAATTGAAGAGACAGATTCGCAATCCAACTTTCCTGTTTTTAATTTTTGTAAACAAGGGAAACTACAGCCATGAATGATCCAAGGCAAGGCTATTTAACTCTATAAGGTTGCCTCATATTGTTCTGGCCTGACGTCACTGTTTCCCCAGTCGTCTTTTGTCGAGCGGCAAAATATATTGGCAGAGGTGATAAACAAAACAAACAGCATTGTACAATCCAGTGAACTTTGATGAATTTTGAAGTTTTCCAATATTTTTTTGTATTTACCAAATCATGCAGCAAGTACAGAAGACTGTGAAAACAGAAATCTAGAAAGATATGTTCAGGTCCTCAGTGCTCCTATTGTACATGGAGGTTGAGCTGAACAAAAAGGAAAAATTAAAACAAAAAATGCTACCAAAGAAATAGCTCTGGTTGAGGTACGTACCTTACAATTTCTGCCTACTGATAGGCCTAACGAAAATTATAAAACGCACGAGACTCTATCTATTCCATTTTTTCCAGACCAGTCAATTTCATGTAAAAAATATAGATTGAAAAAGCCTATGGCCATAGGCAAAACGTTTCGAATGATACTATAAAAACAGAATTATTTACTGAATCCAAAACCCAACAACTGTCCCTCCCCAAAAAACATAGAAAGATTCAAGAACGCATCAAGAAAAAGACATGTGAGTAATTATACTCACAAATCGGCAACCCTGATCCAATGCATGAGCAGAGTAAAAGAAGTATACTCACTTCTGGTTCTTCTCCTTCAACTTCTCACGAACCTTGTCGATCTTTTTTCTAACCGCGCTGCCCGGCTCGCTCTTCCTTGCCTTCGGCGCATTCTGATGATGGCCGAGGCAGTACCGACACCGCCACGGGCACTTGGGCTTCTTTTCCGCCGGCGGATCGAGACAGTCGAGATGGTAGTTCCGCTCGCAATCGCAGCAGCACAACAGACACGTCGAGACGCCGCTGTTACCTGGAATGAATCGATATGGGTCATGTTCAGATATTGCTGGCATTACTGGCCACAGTAAGCAATTAAGGAACACTGAACAGTAGCAGCAGAGTTATCCCCACCATTCGCGATTCAATTCATTCATCCGTTCGGATTGTTGGTGTATACTTTTCAATGATTCATGAATGCATCGCGGTGTCTATCTTTGGTTATTTAGTCTGAGATACTCACCGCATCCGTCGCAAACTCTGCAATCCTCGCAGACTCACTTGGCCCCCTTGGCCAAGAGAGCGGCGAATTACGGCCCCTTCGTGGTGCACCTGAGATGGGCCAGAACACCGTACACATCGACATTAATCCTCTAACAATGATTCCGCAGAATTATCCCCACCATTCACGATTCAATTCATTCATCCGTGTTTGGGGTTTCGGATTGTTGGCGTATACTTTTTAATGATTCATGATTTTTTTTATGTTCTGGTTCCAACGAAAAGGGATATCCTGTAAAGGGATATCCTGTAATGTTCAGAGAACATCATGGGAACCAAAGGAAATACGGTAGGAATTGGTGTTCTTCTTAAATTTCTGGAGGTTATATGCTTCGAGGAACACCTCCCTTGGCAATTTGTTCCAGAGCCTCGCTGTTCGTTGGATGAACGAGTCTTTGGAAAGAGATGTTCTGCAGGTCTCCAAAGTGACCACGAAGGGGTAAGAAGCCTCAAGTCGACGAGTTAATCTCGCGGGGACTGCCAAGGGAGGAACAATTGTTGATATTTCAGAAGAGCATCGTCCATGAAAATATCTATAAAATAGAGCCAGACCGCCAAATTTTCTACGGTGTTCCAGAGAAGTGAGTGAGTTTGTGAGCGAGGCATCCACCTACGAGACGAATTGCCCTTTTTTGGACAGAATCCAACTGTTTCAGGGTATGCTTGGGTGCTGCACTCTAAATATGGGAACAGTACTCCAGGACTGGTCGGATCTGTGCCTTATGGATCATGAATAGCTGACTGGAAGTTAAATAGTTCCTGGCCCGAAACAGAAACCCAAGTTTCTGGGATGCACTTTCAGCAATTGATCTCACGTGATTTTCCAAAGAAAGGATATTGCTGATAGTAATACCAAGCATCGAAATGGATGTCTTCAAAGGTATGGTTACTCCTGACAAGCTTATGATGGGCACAGTGAGATCGGCTTTTCTAGATGCATCGCGGGGACTATCTTTGGTTATTTAGTCGGAGATAGTCACCGCATCCGTCGCACACTTTGCATACCTCGCAAACCCACTTGGCCTTGGCCCCCTTGGCCAAAACAGCGGCGGATTCCGGCCCCGTCGTGGTGCACGTGATATGGGCCAGAACACCGTACACGTCGACATCCAATTACTAACAATGATTCCGCAGAATTATGTCCATCATTCACGATTCAATTCATGCATCCGAATTTGGCGTTTCGGATTGTTGGCGTATACTTTTCAATGATTCTTGAATGCATCGCGGTGTCTATCTTTGGTAATGCAATCTGAGATACTCACGGCCCCCTTGGCCAAGAGAGCAGCGAATTCCGGCCCCATAGTTGTGCACGTGAGATGCGACCAGAGCGCCGCGCTCGTCGTTATCAATTCTCCGGCAATGATCCGCAGAGTTATCTCCACCATTCACGATTAAATTCATTCATATGTGTTTGGCGTTTCGGATTGTTGGCGTATACTTCTCAATGATTCATGAATGCATCGCGTTGTCCATCTTTGGTTATTTAGTCGGAGATAGTCACGCATCCATCGCACACTTTGCAATCCCCTCAGACCCACTTGGCCCCCTTGGCCAAGAGAGTGGCGAATTCCGGTCCTGTCGTGGTGCACGTAAGATGGACCAGAACGCCGTACATGTCGACATTAATTCTCTAACAATGATTCCTCAGTTATTCCCATCATTCACGATTTCATGCATTCACCCGTGTTTGGCGTTTCGGATTGTTGGCGTATACTTTTCAATGATTCATGAATGCATCGCGGTGTCTATCTTTGGTTATTTAGTCTGAGATAGTCACCGCATCCGTCGCACACTTTGCAATCCTCGCAGACCGACTTGGCCCCCTTGGCCAAGAGTGTGGCAAATTACGGCCCCGTCATGGTGCACGTGAGATGGGCCAGAACACCGTACACGTCGACATCAAATTACTAACAATGATTCCGCAGAATTATTCCCACCATTCACGATTTCATGTATTCATCCGTGTTTGGCGTTTCGGATTGTTGGTGTATACTTTTCAATGATTCATGAATGCATCGCGGTGTCTATCTTTGGTTATTTAGTCCGAGATAGTCACCGCATCCATCGCACACTTTGCAATCCCCTCAGACCCATTTGGCCCCCTTGACCAAGATAGTGGCGAATTAGGACCCCGTCGTCGTGAACGTGAGATGGGCCAGAACACCGTACACGTCGACATCAAATTACTAACAATGATTCCGCAGAATTATCCCCACCATTCACGATTTCATGCATCCATCCGTGTTTGGCGTTTCGGATTGTTGGCGTATACTTTTCAATGATTAATGAATGCATCGCGGTATCTACCTTTGATTATTTAGTCACTGCATCCGTCGCACACTTTGCAATCCACGCAGACCTACTTGGCCCCCTTAGCCAAGAGAGAGGCGAATTTCGGCCCCGTAGTTGTGAACGTGAGATGGACCAGAGCGCCGCGCTCGTCGTTATCAATTTTCCGGCAATGATTCATTTCATTCAATCATCCGTGTTTTGCGTTTTGGATTCTTTATTAGTTTATTCATTTATCTCAACGGTTACACCATTTCTTTAAAAGAAATGATAACAAAAGATGAATAATAATAGGAGCAATGAAAATTACACTCATAGAAAAATAGCACTTAAGTTATACTCATTATATTAAGAGGCCATATGCCACTCGAAATTATTCGAATGGTATCAGTTTTCTGTCTTAGCCCTTCCACTCCGAAAGGGGCGGGATCAACCTGAAGAATTCCTAGAAAACTGGAACCGTATGTTTATCGAGCGGCACTTCGAGGGCACCGAACATAATATGAAGTAGCGCGACACCGTCTTGATTACTTTTTGCCGCTCACTGACAACCGGTTGATTATTCATCGAAGGCAGTCAAATGGTCTCATAATTACTGATATTTTGAACTTTTGTCAGTACTTATTTGAATTTTGGCGCTGGTGATTAGATATTTTGTACATTTTTGATAATTACCCAATAGGTATATGATGATGATTATATAATCTACAGGATATTTTCGAAATTACCAAATATGGAATGTTGTATTTTTTATCGCTAGGAGCGCACGGAAGGGAATCCGCATCTAAGGAGGACAGGTAGAGGAGGAGGGTATTGGATTTTCCTATAACTTTTGGAGAACCTACCTGAGTGTTTGGAAAACTTCCTCAGGCAATGAATCTCATAGCTTTGCCATTCTACAGACAAACGAGATTTGATGAAGTGCTGTTCGACATATTTCGAGGTTGACCACGACACGATGTGTTGACTGGGCTTGTCGAGTTCGTCTGACTGGTATATTGCTATAGTGATGGAATGATATCAGAGATTTCTGAAGAATATTTCCCTTGGAAGTATCTATATGGAAAAGTGGAAGGTCGCTGACCTTTTACCTCGCCTTTTACGGTGTTGTATGTTTTGGTGCTGAACCTCATATGTGGGAACAGGATTCTAGAACAGGCTGTATCTGTGCTTTGTAAATTACGAGAAGTTGTTCAGGTGTAAAGTAGCTTTTCGCAAGAGACGGAAATCCGAGTTTTTTTGGAGCAGATTTCGCGCCAATGGATCTGACCTGATTATGATTATCCCCAGAAAGAGTTTTGCTGATTGAAATACCGAGCATAGTTATAATGTACTTGGTGGAAATAGTGGCATCAGACATTGTTATATCAGGCACTAGCTGACCTGGCAAACGTTGTTTTGTCATAAATTTCATTTCTAAAAAATATTTTTGGAGTTGAATATGTATCAACACACTTTTTCTATTTCATTTTCTATACTTCTCTTCAGTTTGACTATCCATAAAAGCGTGTTTCATTAGTTTTTCAAACTGATCTATTTATGTTCTGCTTCTCTTTACTTTGGCAATCCATCTCTTCATTTCTCCAAACAAGTCTTTATTTTCTACTCATTTCTTCTCAGTTTGGTTATCTATGAAAGCTTGTTTAGTTAGTTTTTCAAACTACTATTTATATTGCAATAGCTGACTCGGAATCCCACATGCCTGTGCAAGTGTACATCATAATTATTGTAAGGTGGTTTACACGGGTTTACCCCTCGTTTGATTCAATCGATTTTGATACAAACATAATATTGTAACCACTAAGCATGCGAATATACATATAGTGTCCTTCCCATTGACATAAGTAGGCTATCTAATTTCCATGCCTCTGATAAGTCTGGTGTCGACAAGTTCCGGGATCATCGTTTCAAAATGAATTTCTGATTCCATTTTGGATGACCAGAAATCATCATATCTAGGAATAGCTTCCACTTTCATGCCATTTCGAGTCCAAGCTGCAAAATAACAAATTTATTTAACATGGTGTTGTCCCTGGATACGATGAAACCAATTGTGGTTTTTGTTAACTTGGCCATCTTCATTCCAAAATGTTATTTTTCTTTTCGCTATTCCTTTATCCGGAGTCAGATATTTGGCACAATTATAGAGACATTGAACTTTAATGATTATTTCGTCATCTTAATAGTTACTCCATCAGGACTAGCAGCAATAGGTAGGTATACTGGAGATTTTCATCGATTCAATGTATTTATTTTTCATTTTTTTGGCAATATGTTTCTCCAATTCTGCATTATTGGGATGTTCATTTTCCCCAAACCAACAATGCTGCATTGATTATTTTCGGATATATAATTCTCTAACTAACCGTCTGAGAGGTGGAGATTTTTTCTCTTGCATATTATATCTCTCCAAAGACTGACAGTGATTCGTTCTTTCTTCTTCTTTTCACAGCTTTGACTCAGTTTGATCTCAACTCTTCTATACATTATTTTCTAGATTCTTTGAATTGATTGGAAAGCAAAATACGCATACCTAACCTACCATCAAAAGAATTCCATCTCGGATTCTATCTATATATTCCATATAATTATTGTTATCTAGGACATTCCTCTGTGAATAGGTAAATCGGTATTTCATTCATTCTTTTCGGAAGCACCTGTGTTTTTTGATGGCTCAACTTTGCATGAAAAAAATTAGGCTACATATAGTTGAAATCACCCTGATTCATTTGATCATGTTATCATGTTCCTTATATCTATCTATTTGTTGGACTATAGTATATTAAAAATATCGCTTAGAACATTCCAGCACTTCCCTGTGTTCGAAGAATTAGAAATAATCTATTAACTGAGTAGGTATAACACAGTTGCTTTGTTGATTCCATGATACCTATATTTATTATATATCAGGTATAAGTCTGGTAGGTTTATTGAACGAAATATAAATAGTTTCTTTGTATGAAAAGACAAATTGGGTCGCAGACTATTTCGTGAAAATAATAAATACCATCTTCATCATAGGACCATTGACTATCAATAAGGCATTCGAATTTTATGGGAGGAGCTTATTTTTGTTAAGTGCCGCGCCTACAGGGAAAATTCTTCTTCACGGTGCCTCCGCTCCCAATTTCCCATGCGAAAACCAAATGAGATTTCAGCAAATAAAAATTATTTCTGAAGAGTACTACATCTGATCTATGCATCTTATCGACTAGATTTTCAATTTTTGATTCCACAACGTAGAAAAAAATTCACAAAATCGGTCAAAAACGCACTACTTTACAGGTGATTATAAATTAGTCTATGTAAAAAAATGAAAATCCATTCGATAAGATGCATCGATTGCACCTTTGACTACCCAGGAAAAAAAAAATTGAGCCTCTTAGATGATCCATAACCATAGGGGAACTTGGGAGCGGTACCTCTTTTATTGGCGGAGGCGCTGTGGAATATGCCCTCTTAACTAGGTATTCATAATTATTTTCACAACATTAGTTTTGAATTAACTTAGACTGCCACAGAATATGTCATAATGATTTTGAAGAACAACATAATTCCTTTGAAGCCTTGAAATGGGGTTATTGTTGCCATAATTCGTTGGATGAAAGGTCAAGGAAAATAAAGGAGGATTTCTTGTTCTGGCCGACGTATTGAATCTAATCAAACTAAGTAGATCTGGAGAATTAACAAGGCCATTTACCAATCTATATGTATAGGAAACACATATCCAACACTAATCTACGATTTTCTTAAGATGGGAGATTAAGTTCCATCAAGATATCTGGGTAGTTTATATGAGCAACGTGATTACCCTTGCGATATGAATATGTTCTCAAGAACCTTTTCTGGATTCGTTCTAAATTATCAATATGTATTTGATTAAAAGGTGTCCAAATGATGGAACCATACACTAGTGAAGGTCTGACCAAATGGCAATAAAGTGAACTAAGTGTTTCAGGAGAGAATTGTTTACTGTTCCTAGTAATGAAACCAAAGTTTACTCACTTTTCAATGATTCATGAATGCATCGCGGTGTCTATCTTTGGTTATTTAGTCTGAGACAGTCACCGCATCCGTCGCACACTTCGAGGACCCACTTGGCCCCCTTGGCCAAGAGAGCGGAGAATTTCGGCCCCGTCGTGGTGCACGTGAGATAACAATCCGCAGAGTTATCCCCACCATTCGCGATTTCTTTCATTCATCCGTGTTTGGCGTTCCGGATTGTTGGCGTATACTTTTCAATGAGATACTCACCGCATCCGTCGCACACTTTGCAATCCTCGCAGACCCACTTGGCCCCCTTGGCCAAGAGCGCGGCGAATTCCGGCCCCGTAGTTGTGCAAGTGAGATGGACCAGAGCGCCACACTCGTCGCAACCGCTCAACTTCTCGAAGGCGCCGTGCCGGTTCTTGGACTCCGTGCCCAGGCATTCCGTGCATATTGGCAGAGGCACGGGGATCTGAAACGTAAACGTGCGACATCAGACTACCTTTTGTGGAATTTTGTGGGTGATGTTCTTAGTTTTTTACAGTGAATTGGTGTGGTCCATTCGTTTTCGAGCTTTGCGAGATAATGATATCTATTACACACCCAAAACAACGACGATTACTAATTAAATCATATGATGCATCCATTACCGACTACTCAGTAGGTAGGTTCACAATTTTACCACCAGGTGGCGTCTCGCCCGCTGTTATCGTAAGCCCGCATCGCCCGGGCGCATATAAGCACAACGTACATGGATTTGGCAAAGATCCTGTATCTTCGTTTTCTGATTGGTTGATATGAGTAAGTTCTGCCATTGTGGAGTCCAAGTCATGTACTTTGTGCAAGTGACCACAAAATGCATGTGTAAATTAAAACTGTATGAGAACGTATTTCAAAGATTTGTTATCATAATGCCTCGCATAATGCTAATACGAAACAGAAAAAAGTCAGCACAATGACACACATCAAAAATAAGTAAACTCCCTGGAGAACTATTTCATCCAGGTGATTTGGGTCGAATCTTGAATCTCAATATTTGGAGCTCAGGATTCTATAGTTGAAATATTTCCAATTATTAACACCCTGTATATATGTGAGGAAAGGAATATTGAGGGGGATGTTGTAAACAACGGAGAAGAAATAGTGGACAAAGCCCTCATAAAAAGTGAACCGTAGACGAACACACAAAAAGTTTTGAATTGGGAGCACTCTCACGTACGATCCATTTCGTGTGATTTCACTTAGAAAATTATCGAATCCACATATCACATTCTTCTAGATTGTGTAAATCTGCGTGAATTGTTATACTAACATTGTTAGTAACTTCTTCTGTCTTGTATTAGAAAAAAAAATCATATCGAAATATGATGTTGAAATCAAGATCAACTATTCAACTCAATAATAAGACGCACGTGCTTCTTGATCACTGAGATGCGCAAACGATAAACAGAGATGGTTAGTGTGCGACAAAGATCCACTACACCTTTTTATTGGGAACCAGTTCCTCGGCAATAATGAGCTCTCACCCCACTCCACCGACTGGTTCACTGCGCATCCAATTCTCAGAGGCCTAGCTAGAATGGTCAAGCTGTACCTATCATACGCAATTCGTACTGCTATTTGGCAGCGAAAAACTCAGTGGCAAAATGTACATCTGTCTGTATAACAATGTGTACTGTTATTTGACATCGATTAGTCAGAAAGAGTAGATATACAGGCCGTTCGCCGAATCCACACCGAACTTGAACACTTCTGAGCGGTTTGTTTTGATGATATGACCAGTAAGCATTGACAAAAAACGAATGTGAACCAATGAAAACAAAGTAAACAGGCCGCTTTGACAGCTTTCAACAACTCCGATAGCTTATTTTCTATCGCGAATAGCAAACGCAAAATCACATAGCAGTGGACATCAGGAACTAATAAAATATATGTTTTTGAACCCACTTTTCATTTGTGTCAATGTGCATGACTGTGACTCCCCCCTGATTTTCTACAAAAAAAAAATATTCTAAATAGATCCTTTCTGTAACCACATAACACATATTATACATCATCAGTATTGTATTAGAAAAATAAATATTTTAAAATTGATGAAATATCAGTCAGTATAATAGTAGGTATCATACATAAAAAATATCTGAATGAGGGAGTAGATTTTCCAAAAATGTAAAAATTACAATAGACTGATGATCAACTAATTTTGTGATGAGTGATAGTTTTTAATTCAGATACGATGACAAAATTCAAGTGAATCCGGGAATCTGTCAATCATTTTGCTAAATTGAAAAAATGAGTCAGTATCCCTTGCTCCAAAAAAATTGTAGGGGACATCCACCTGCTCGGGTAACCTACAGACAATATACAAAATACTTTTTTCTTGCTTTTCTTATTGTTCCTTTTTTTCATATCAATGGCAACAAACTGATCAGAAGCGGATCAGAACATGTAAATTAATTTATAATATAATAATGTGATGGAGTTGTTTTCATAGTCTGGAAGAAATTTATTTTCAATTTTAAGGCACTCCAACAAAGTGATTGTGATTCTGTATCTCTTTCTGTATGTGGTGTATTGTAGATTGTATGGTATTTTTGTTCGAATAAATCGTTTCAAGCCTTCTACTGAGTGTTTGTGAAAGACCGAACCCAGATATTTATCGTAACTTTATTATTTTTTTTTTATCGATTGGAGCGCACGAAAGGGAATCCCTATAATGTTCAAAGAACATCGTGCGTTCCTAGGGGGGATAGGGACAGGAGGTAGGTATTGGAATTTTTTTGAATTTTTGGAGATTATATGTTGTTGGGAATACTTCCATTATTAATCGGCGGTGCCAATTCGTGAGCAATGAGAACTAACATATTTCGATTCTCCATCAGATCGCGCTACTAACGATTTGGACCGAATTTCGAGCGCACTCATGAAATCCGTTACATAACCTCACATGAAAATGTATTTCTTAACCAACAAATATAGTTCATACAAAAATGGAGAAATTCTGGTGAATATTTCTCTCATTATTGACACAGTGAGGACTATACCGTTATCGAAATAATATTTCTTCGTCAAGTACTGATTATGTGGATACAGGGTGTAATTTAATTGGATGAAAATATAGGATATGGCTCCTTAGCTCATTTAAACAAGAAAAGTTAACTTTCGAACGATAGGGTATTAACATTTTATTTTCACTTTATTGATTGAAGTAACTTTCACAATGTGAAAAACTGTCACGTTTATGGATACTTGTCAAAATAAAACCGCAACGTAATCGATCAAAGGTCATTATTTCAAATACAAAATTGCTTTTTACGTTTCGTATTCTGATTGGTGAAGCAGAATCTGAAATTAAAAGTGAATCAAACTTATGCAAATGTCATTCACAACAACAAAAAATCAACGTGACTTTTTACGGCTTTTCTCAGATGCCTTGGTTATGGCCATTTCTGTTTCATTCTGAAATGAAGTAAAATAATCATAACAATAATATTGATTAGATAATTGATAATATTCATAGAACTGGTGATGACGTAAATTGATCGTTATTCAATACTTGAAGAGAAAAATCAATCCTCAAGAATAAAATAATAAATTGAACAGTATAACTATCTACTATTCCGTGGATTCACGAGAAAATCATGAGTAAAAACTTCATCATAACTTCCATATAGAATGTTCCATGCATGTATTTTTTATTAGAATCAGAACTAATAGTAGTATTCTCCATTTTTATAACAATATCATTTTGTCTGTTTATACTATTTTCACAGACGATGGCTTCTTGCAACGAAAAAAGCTGAATATTTTCAACTTTCTACGTCATTTCAACTACGGATTTTGCTTCACCAATCAGACTACGAAACGTAAAAAGCAAAACGTAAAAAGTTTGGCTATGAACGCCGCTTAAGACGTTAGGTCAAGGTTGATAGAACTGATAAGTACATACTTCTTCTTTCGTGTTAATTGGCCTTCCCCTATAGGTATCGGATACTTCCGATCAAAACGCCGAAACAGATTGATAGGGGTGAAGAATCTTCGAAAAATGTATATACAATAATTCCTGGATTCCCACGGAATCCACCCAATCCCACGGAATCCCACTCCCACATGCTTGTACACCATCATTCCAAGGTGGTTTAACCATCGCACACCACTAGACAAGTTGACGAAAGTGGTCAAGACGCCGAAATTTATTATGCGATGCTAAAAATGTCAAAAGGATTCTTTGGACACATAGCCAAAAGCACTGGCCAAAAGTGGTCATAACGACCAAAATGCCGAAAATGGTCACAATGGTCTTCTCCTCATGTATTTCTGAGAACTATAGGCATTACGCTGTTTCCAGTGCCACAAAATAATTTGGGTTTGAATAAATCTCAATCATTATTAGGAATTCTAGGATGTTTTTATTGGTACTGAAGCATCTTGCAAGTATATAAGTAATCAATAAGGTATTATATTTCTCTATTTGTCGTTTGTAAATGTCGTGACAACATCAGTAACAAAATTTTCTGGTTAACTCGCAAGAATAGAGATAATTCGACTATATTATATGAACATAATAGTTCATTCGAAAGACACTCTATCAGATCAACGAAACTGACCACATTAGACAGATATAATAATTATCATATTTTCATGTGATCTCTTTCATATTATTCGTTAATAAATAACTCATTCATTAATTCAAAAAATGCATTTAATCCTCAAAAATGTTAGTTAACTGTTAAAAAATCAATGCTTATAGAAAATACAAACTTGCGTTGTGGTTTAAACGAGGGTTTAAACCAACCAAAGTCAGTTGGTGCACCTGGAGAAAAAACATATAAGTAGGCAGAGCGGTTTCGCTTCTTTGGAAGTTCACATTCAGAGATGTGGTTTTTTCAATCCAAAATTTTTTCCACGCCCTGTATAATAAAATCAAGATAGACATAACAAATCGTTTGTTCATTGTTAAGGACTGTTTTGGGCAGGCTTGGGTAATATCTAATGATGTTTTGTAATATTATATGAATATTGTTAACATTGAACTAACTAGGCCTAAATGTATCGATTTGTTAACAAAAAAGAATGTTTATCCTCAGTACAGGAATATCTGGAAGTGAAGACTTCTGGTGATGTACCAGACAACCTGGCAGCGTAACTTCCATTTTCAGCCGTTACTCTGTTTGCCGGAGGGTTGAGGAAGGAGAATATCCTTTCTGCATATGCCTAAATGAACCTTCTTCCTAGAAAGTATATTTTTCAGAAAATTACTTGAAAGAACAGAAGAGACTACTGCTTCTAAAAAACCTTTCTTCCGTCATTACAGGGAGCGATTTTACTAAATATACTCCACGCCCACCATAATACGTCATATCTCCAAACATTACCGATATACTCGAAGTCAGCACATCGCACTAAATATACTGTGCTCCAACGCAAGAATACACTTTTTATGATTTTGACACGAATTCGACTGAAGCTCTC